GGGCGGCCGGAGGCTTTTTTGCCTGGGGCGGCAAAAAAGCCAGAGCCGGCCCTGCATGTGACCTTAGCCAACAGCAGAATAATTATAGTAACTATCTTGAATACACCTGAATTAAAATTTCTTTCCTCTCTACCGACTTTCTTCCTCTCCTTCTCCATAAACTTTAATTTGAACTCTCAACATGTTGGGCTCTGGCTGCCGCTAGGAGTATATTAAAAGTGCTAACTTGCTTCTGAAGCATTTTCACTATGATATTTATTTCCTACAATATGGCTGAATTCTGAAAGCACAAAAATAAATAAATGCAGCCAAAATGTTGCATTAACTGTAACATAAGTTGTAGTACTTAAAATAACAAGGTGTCCTGGCAGGAGCCTACTTTCAGCCTGCAGTTTTGATGTATTCTGCCAGCATAACCCCGGGCACAGGGCTGCTGGCAATGCAAAATCTCCCTAAGAGGATCTGTAACAGTGCAACATGCCTGCAACCCCATCTCCTTTGTAGGGTCTGCAGCTGAGTGGGATTGGCCAAAAAGGTGCCCAGTCTTACTCAGTTCACCCTCACAGCACCTACTTATGGGGCTCCTACAGACCACTGGGGAAATTAAAAAGCTGTCCTTCTCTAATGGAATTCTTGTCGGAGGGCAGCATTAGAAACACTGCCTGCCCTCACTGTTTCAGGGAGGAGAAATCTGTACCTCCTTGAGCAATCAGGCCAGACAAGCCCAGGGTTTTTTTGCCCTAAATCTGTTGCAGCAGAGACAATCTGAGCTGTCTGGTTCAGATCACATGATTCTCCTTCAACCAATGAGCTAGCTAGTTGGTAATTTGGGGGCCTAAAACTAATAATTAAGTGGTAGGACAACAAGGCAAAACTATTTGAACTCACATTACCATGCCTTAAACTGGAATGTGACTATCTATTCATAGGTGCAATATATGTATCACTTGAATTCACTGTTCACAATGATCCATTTTCATGATACTGCCTGTGTATTATGCAAAGTATTTTCTAAACACTTTTAACAAATTTCATTATCTTGAGTGGAGTCCAATAATTTCTGCTGTTGGAGTCACAAGGTCTGTTTGCAAGCCTGCAGACTTTACTCAAATCAGAATTGACAACATGAAGTATTATACTTACTAGAACACATTATGCATGACAAGCAAGACAAAAAAAGATTCATCATCAACAGGCAAAAACTCCAACTAATGGGAAAAGGGATCAGCAGCTTTTGCCAAACTGGCAGTAGTTAGTAGGCAACTGTTTGTTAACAGGTTGGACACTGGCAACTTCCATCTTATATTTTTGATTAAACCAATAAACATATGAGGTAAAACCAAACTTGTTTCAGAGTTCACATGCAACATGTTGCCTTTGCTTCCACTGCATTTTTCACCCCAGGGTTTAGAATCCTCCAACCCAACTCATTTAAAACCTGATCCAAAACCCATGAAAGTCAGAGGGCTTTGGATTAGGCCCTTAAAATATTGCACTTCAAATATATACAATAAACAATGGAAGGGGAGCTATATTGGAGAAAAATAGGCAGCTTTATACTTTATCATTCATTGTAAGGAACTGTAAAGTAGTGCCTAGGAGGCAAAAATGCATCTGGCCTTGCAGAGTTAATACAATGCTACTTGAAGGCCACCATATTGACTGACACCAGGGATTGAACTGGGGACCCCCAGAACTAAAAGCATGATCTTTATAGATTGAACTAAGCTAAGAGCAGTAACAGACTCCTCTCTAGAGTTGGTCAGATAAACTTCAAGGGAACTATATTTGTCAGAATCTGCAGTTCTATCAAGCTCGAAATGCCGTCTATTTTGCAGGAATTTTAGTTTTAAAATAGTCAATATCCTATTGCAACATTATTTAAATGAAATCAAAATCAAAAAGGGGGGGGATTTTTGAATTTTCCTCTGCACAGAATTTCAAAATGTTCAGGTTTTGTTCCTAATTAAAACAAAGCCAAATTCTGAAACCTCGAAATCCTTTGCAAAATGGAACTTCTGTCCTCTACACATCTCTACTCATCTCCTCTGTGGATCAGGCACAGAGGGGAACACATAAACACATGCAGACCTGTGGGTTATGCAATACATGATAGACAGGGGTTCGGAGGTTAAAAATGAACTTAATCCATACTTTTGAAGTATTATATCGAAGTCCCTTAGTCACATGATTTTCTTTTCAAAGTAATTTATGATTTTTTCCCCCATTTTATGATTTTAAACCACAATTAAGTGAATTTTAAGACCGTAAATGCTCCAGCTTGAGTTGGGCACAAAGCGTGCAGGTGTTGTGCAATCTTCCTGGACACAGACTCTGTCAGCCATGTCTCTCAGCCCTACCCTGCCATTCTATTCCAACTCATGACCAAAAATCTATCTGTGTCTAGTTACATGGTGATTCTGTCATGTGGCTAAACAGCTAGTAGGGACTGAGAACACCAACAAATCACATTTTCTTATGCAAAGTAAACTCAGCTCTCCAGAAGTAAAAATTTCCTTATCACATCACATCAACCTTGCATTCCTCTTCTCCGACTAATTCATTTCCAGTTTTTGCATACCTGTCCCAAGTGCATTTTTCCTTGTTTTATTTTCTACTACTCACTTTACTATCCCATTAGATATTAATTCATATTCTTCCCCTCTCAATACTTTTTTCCAACCGTGAAGTATATCAAACTTCTGTCCTGCAAATACTGTCTGTCTTCAGCACCAGTGTACTGCTTTGCTGTAGTAGGCCAGTCAAATTCCTTTCCCTCCCACCCCTCAATTTACTGCCTCTTCGGGAGCAAAAATACATCTGCTGCAGAGAAGTCTGCTTAGTACTTTTACAACTCCTGGCTTTTGAGGATACATCTACAATCCTTGAAACAAACTCTAAACAGGCAAGCATATAATTTTGTTCTCTATAGCCTTTAGTTTAATTTCAAAGTGTTAATTTCTTTTAGTTTTTCCCATTCTTTGGTTTATCCTCCTTCTCTGCCAGACTCTTTTTCTCCTTCTCCTTCTTCTTTTTTTGTTCAATTAATTATAGGCTTTATGAGGAAGAGACTCATGATTACACATTCATTACATTAGAGAAAGAAATGAAGCACTAAAGTAGTTAATCTGACTGGCTGAAATAGACAGCCTAAAGTATAATACAAGATGTGGGCATACCAGAATGCTGATCAGCCAAAAACAATGCTTAACACAGTTATTGTATTTTTGATTACACAATATTTTCAGACATGAGTTGCCTTTTTCATTCCCAGCAAGTAACCAATCTTAGCAGCTTTAATTTTTAATCCACATTCTTATATGAACCATACACCATGTTCTTCCACACACCAACTGGTTACTGTTAGATGTGATACTACACAATTCAAAAGAGAGGACACACTCAGCCGCATCAGATGCTACCATTATTGGTGCTCTCTAGATTGTCCAATGTGGCTATCCATATGTAGCATGCAACTTTCAATTAGATGAAGTCTCAAGACTGTTCCTGAAATGGGATGATGGGTCTCCCAACATGACATTAGGGTGGCTTCTATTTCCACCGCAGTTAATAAAATGCAATACCAACACCTTCACTCCTACACAGTTTGATGTTTAAATAATAGACTGTTGAAGATCTCTTCAGATGGGAATATTTCTTTGACAGAAATAGAAACAAGTACCTGGATCTTGGTCTTGCCTTGAGTGTGCTCGATTCCTGAACAACTGAAACCAACAGATTACTTGTTAAAAACATTTAAAAAAAAAAAAAAGAAGAAGAAGAGGTTTCTTTACCTGCAGAATGATAGGTAGTTAGAATTAATTACAAACAAATGGAGGATGTCAGAGTGATGCTTATCCCTGCATAATAATGAGGATTTGATTGTTTTCACTCCTCACTCCCCATCTGTAACTGTGAACGTTCTCATCATCCACATAAATCTCTAGTTCTTTTTTTTAATCCCATTGAGACCGACTATTCCAACTCTTGGCTTCAGTTACACCTTGCAGCAATAAGTTCCAGAGTTGTTTAAAAAGTATTTTCTTTATTGATTTAAAATTTGTTGCCTTTAGTCACTTTTCTTGTCTCATAAAACAAGAACAGTTAAACAGCAGTGAATGATTTACCTTCTCAGAACTATTCCTTATATATGTACATCCCTTTCTATGAGTCTCCTCTCTAAACAAAAAGTAATCCTGAAAAATGTAACTTTGTGATTGCTTTCAAATCTACTTCCCTGAAAGAGAGATTCTTGGGGTATTACACCAGTCTAATCAATTTTAAAAGTCTAAGATAGGTGAGTTCCTTTTTAAAAAAAATTGTTATACTAGATAGAATGCTAAAAAGAATCCAGAGGGATGGTACTAGAGAGAGACTTTCGGTGTTATTTGTTACCTTCAGAAAAATCAGCATTTTGCCAACAGTTACCACACTCCAATATCTATCTGATCTTACCGTAGATTTTCCTATACAGGATCTACCCATGGTAGCAGTTGGCAAATGCTGACTTTTTAATGGCTTGTATTATTCTCTTGTATGCACATACCAGTTAGGGGGTTTACAGACATGCAGAACAAATGAGATAGCAGGCAACATAATGTAGATCCACAAACATGCACTTTTTCCTCATAAGAGAAGTTGTTTGCATGGGTTTTACATTATTGACTGAAGCGCTGCATGGAGGCTATACAGATGCAACTGGTAGTGATTAATGTTCAATAAGAAAACCGCTTATGAATGAATCTCTCAGTAGATTAATGTCATTAACAAGCGTAATTCCAGATTCCAGTGTAACCAACTCTTACTAGCAACTAAAAGAAGAGAGGAGAAGGAATTACCATTAACAATGAGCAATAATGAATATTTTTTTAGGTTTGAAACACCCACAGAATACAATTTTAGCAACAAATTTCTACAATCTTATGACCCAATTTTGACAGTACTGACAATGATAACTTAAATTACATGTATAATTTTTGAAAGATTTGCCTTCTCATTTTATATCATTCAAGGTGAACCATATTTTTAGAATATTTATGTTTTCTTCAGATCACCCCCACAAAACTATAGGGAAGATTGACATCAGAGTCCTCAAATTATGTTTTGTTGAGGTGAACATGGGGACATAGAGGGAAGACAGAATCCTATTTTGAACTGATTATTGTATTAAATAAAGAACTATATCAATGCAGCGTTATGGTCAAGGCCTTTTTTTAAGCAAGTGAAAGTCAGGAAATTCAAGATTAAGATTCAATGACACCCATAGCTCAACCGGGGGGGTGTGGTGGGTCTGCTTTAGAGGCTGAAGACTGAACTGAAAGCCATACAGTAAATGGTGTAATATGCTAAAGTGGTAGAAGAGAGAAAGGAAGAAACAAAGATTTCTTGACTATCCTAAAACACTCGTACAGTCTGCGGCACACTGAGCTGCTTTGTGCTTGGCTTAAGCAGCAAGAGCAGAATTTAAGCTGTCATTTGGAAATAATTAAGGACCAACATTTTTAAATGTGGGTGCCCAAATTCAATAATGTAATTTCATAGGGGCACCTAAATAAGTGGCCTGATTTTCAAAGGTGCTGAATCAAACAGTTTGCATTGACGTCAAATTACTAATCTTTATGATTGTGAAGAAAACCTTCCAAATGTGAACCAATGAAATGCTGTCTTTCCTGAGTTTATAACACAGGCAGATAGCCTAAATCAATAGCTCCAAGAGCGATCTGAACTTTCCCTATTCATTTCAATTAGAGCCCTGCACAGATTCAAAATGTGTATCTCCATCTGATCTGTAATCCGCAAACATGGTCCGCAGATATCTTCAGATTTGCAGGACTCTAATCTTAGTGGAGTTTTAGTCCTGAAGCCTAAAGATAACATTGATGATATTTAAACACTGATGATCACTACAGGAAAACTGTCTAATTATTGTGGCTTTAAAAAAGCAGGTCTTTTCCACCTCTTAACTTCTGTAACATCATCTACGTACCTAAAGGATATTCTCTAGTACTTTGTCCGGTCCAGTTTTAAATAACTCAGTGTAATGGATTACCACTACTTCCTTGGTGGACTATCCAACAGTCTAATTCAGGGGTAGGCAACCTATGGCACACGTGCCGAAGGCGGAACGCGAGCTGATTTTCAGTGACACTCACACTGCCCGTGTCCTGGCCACCGGTCCAGGAGGCTCTGCATTTTAATTTAATTTTAAATGAAGCTTCTTAAACATTTTAAAAACCTTATTTACTTTGCATACAACAATAGTTTAGTTACATATTATAGACTTATAGAAAGAGACCTTCTAAAAACGTTAAAATGTATTACTGGCACGCGAAACCTTAAATTAGAGTGAATAAATGAAGACTCGGCACACCACTTCTGAAAGGTTGCTGACCTCTGGTCTAATTGATTTCATAACATTTTTTCCCCTGATTTATGAAACCTAATTCTTCCTCTTAAATTTCATCCCATTTATTTCCCTTTGGACTCAAAGGGAGTCACCAAGTAAGGGGAAAGGGATTGAAGGGCAGCAGGTAACAAAGGAGACAGAGAAGGAAAAGGGTTGCATCATCTATCCAGGAGAAGGAGACAAAGGGAAAGCCACTGTGATTTTTTACTGCTGCCTTTCCCTCTGTGGGGTTTGGAGTGGGAATTAAGACTCTAACCCTAACCTTTTCAGGGGTACAAAATTGTGCCACAAAAGAACAATACAGCAGCATCCATTCCATCTCCATGGAGAAAAGGTGAGGGAGGGGCTAGAACTTGCAGTGGCTTGGGGACAAGTGTGAGCAATGACAGTTTTTCTGAGCTGTACTGCTAGGAGTCCTGCTAAACTGAAATTCAGGAATCCCAGAGTGCAAAGAAAGAAAGATGAAGATTCTGCCACTAACTCTCCCTCCTAGAGGGAAGTATGTATGTAGGAGACCACGCAATCAGTCAAAAACATGAGCTGAAGATAGGAAATCTGGCAATTCCCAAGTGTTTTTGGGAAGGAGCCAGGAAAAAAAGAGTTGAAAATGAGGCACGCAGCTGTTGAGGGGCCATTAATAAACTTGAGTTTTAAGGCACAACTACTAAGACAGGCCCTTGGGGTCAGTTTGCTTAATCAAGGATATCTTCATGATTAAAAGGAGGAGAAACTTCAATTTTTTTTTTAAAGGGCAAACCCAGATTTGCACTAATACCTAAGTGGTTAACCACTGAGATTTATAAGCTCTACTGAGACCTGATAAAGCAGTGTTTCTCAAACTGCGGTGGCCGCTTGTGTAGGGAAAGCCCCTGGCGGGCCGGGCCGGTTTGTTTACTTGCCCTGTCCGCAGGTCCGGCCGATTGCGGCTCCCACTGGCCGCGGTTCGCTGCTCCAAGCCAATGGGGGCTGCTGGAAGCGGTGCGGGCTGAGGGACTTACTGGCTGCCGCTTCCAGCAGCCCCCACTGGCCTGCAGCGGCGAACCGCAGCCAGTGGGAGCCACGATCGGCCGGACCTGCGGACGGGGTAAGTAAACAAACCGGCCCGGCCCGCCAGGGGCTTTCCCTATACAAGCGGCGACCCCAGTTTGAGAAACACTGTGATAAAGTTTTCAAGTATTCAGAGCTTTGCAAGGAATATTTTTAGGAAGGTTGGGTGGTTAATTGTAAAGGCATCACTTCTCACTGAGGTTAAATAAACAGAACAAGTATGAAGTTTCTGGACCAAGCAAGTGATTTTTGACATATGCCATTCCAGAAATAAAACCTTCTGAGATGATAGGGGTGGGGAAGGGAATCAATAGCTACAGGAAAGGAAAGCTACTTACAGCCTGAACTGTGGCACCAGTGCTATAGCACCATACTTCCTGTCACAAGGTCTAATTTTCAAAATTGCTAAGCACCCATTGACTTCTATGAGAATTATGGGTAGTCAGCTCCTGTGAAAATGAAGACTGTTCAAAATCATTACTGGCAAGATATAATGTTTACTCTGTGTTTGGGAAGGGTTTCCATCAACAGTTATATTATTACCAACTTTTCCCAATCTTGTGTGCAGAAAAAAATGGAACTTACAATATGCTATATTACAAAATGTCCTTTGTGCTTAAGAAATGAATCAGAAGAAAAGTACAGTAGGTGAACCTTTTTGACAAGTTCAAATCCTAATTCGGATGAACTTTGCAAATAATGGTCATTAACTCATGGGATGGATCATTTTTTAAAAGTAATTTTATTATTAAAAATTATTACTAGAGTGAAAGGAAAGGAACGTTACCAGTGAAATGAAATAAAAAAAAATTTAGGCTTATTTTGGTAAGAAAATTGTTTAGCTGACAAGTTCTTTAAAAAAAGATTTTTTTTTTTTTTTTAAAGACATGAAATTTTTCTCCTCTTACCTGTTTTGACAGACAAGTGTTGAGATGGTTTAAAATCCTTTGGTATTGTTTTGGCAGTAGTGCTTATGTTCAGAGCTTAATTAAAAATAAACGGAAAGTTATTTTAAATTAATTATGTACTTGAAAACACAACACAGTCCATAGCTCTCAACTTTGATTAAGGCCCTATTAATAATACTTCTTACATGGTGAAAAGAAATGTACACACATTAGGTAAATTATTCCTCACACCATCAGTGTGAAGTCACTATTATCTTTATTTAATAATAATTAAAAAAAAGTGAGGCACAGAGAGCTCTAGGCCCAAGCTGCCAACTGACCACAAATTTTCAGTGCCTCAGCTTTTGGGTATTTAACTTGAGAGACCAAGTATACAATTTTCAAAGGTGCTGAGCACTTGCAACTCCAGTTAATGGGAACTGGGCATGTTCAGCGGTCAATAACTCTGAAAGTTAGGACCTAGGTGTCTCATGTTAGAAACCTAAAAACTGAAGCATTCAAAATCTTTTGATAACTTGGGTCTAAGTGACTTGCCCAAAGGCACATAGTGAGTCAGCAACCAAGCCGGGATCAGAACCCAGGAGCTCCCGGTCCTCTGGGCTTACTCCTCTAGAAAAGGTTTAGATCATAATATCCCTTTTCCACCAACACCTAAAACATCTCACATCAAGGATGTGAGCAAAACACAAACCAACCAAAAAAGCTGTACTCATTTTGCCGAGAACTGTATTATATGGGATCCCTATGGATGAAACTCACTTCACTGCACTATGTCCTGAGTAAAAGGACTTTATGTGGACGTAGTCTGCTTCCTCAGTCCCATCTCTATTTCCACTATTATATACGTTTAAATATATAAATAACTGACAACGCAGAATTGATTTATCTGTGAGATGATGGAAATGAATGAGAATTTGTTTCACTTACAACATCCTAAGCTACAGAATTCTGAATCCTCAAGAGTAAAGCTAAGCAAATAATTGATTTTTCAGTTCAGAGGCGAACCGAAAAATTTCTGGAAAAAAATTAATCCGTTTCAGTTTTAACAAAACATTTTGTTAGACCTCAACAAAACGCAAAAATGAAAAAAAACCCACTTTTTTCAGCTTTTCATTTTGTTCCAGTTGAACAAAATGTTTAGTTTGACCCAAAATGAATTTTTTTTGTTCCTATTCATTTTGGGGTGTTTTAAAATAACCAAAATTTCAAAATGAAATGCCATTTCAAATTGAAAAATAGAAACATTTCAAAAACAAAAAGCAGAAACAAAACATTTTAATTTCCCCCCCCTGAAACCATTAGGCAATTCGCAAAAAGTTTCAGTGCCTCAAAAATGCATTTTTGGCAAATTTACTATTCGACAAAAAAATCATCCGGTTCTATCTGGGAGTTCTCCTTCCGGGCAGCAC